TATATCATTAACACTTTTTCGGTTCACTTATTTATTTATTTTAATATTAGCATACTCCCAACAATATCATTCTTTAATAATTAATATATTGATCTTTTGTTGAAAAAAGGGCATAACAAACAAGGAACACCGAAAARAAAACGATAATATTAAAGAACGTGGAGATTTTATGTAAAAGAATTCAAACAGAAAGAAAGAGGAATTACTTTAACGAATATTATATTAAAAAATAATTATAATCTAATATATTAAGCTTTTGGAAATTTGGTGATAGTTAAATTAACCTATTATCATAATTGAATTCAAATCTTGCACATTATTATTAATTATTTTCCTCAATTTATATATAGTTTACATTTACAATAGGAGTGAATTAAGAATGTGTATATCAATTTATCAAACTTAAAAAGGGAAATTCTAATGGGTGTCATTGAAATGATATACTGTTTTCTATATTGATGAAGTATATTAATTATATTCTTACCATATCACTAATATATCATTTATATGATAAATTATATTCTTTTTATATACTAATATAATATCATTGATATATCTATATGAAGTATCAGATCCTTATAATATAAATTATTAAAATTACTATATCGCATGAGTTCCAAGATAAAATACAGTTTATATGTTTGTCTTTCCCAATCTCTTTTCTTAGCTCCAACAAAGAGATGAGATTATATCTTAAAGTGGGTCACATTTCAAACTAGTTAAGTGGTGGGGTTAGGGAGTATCAAAATTCAAACTCTTGCGCTTTTAATTTCATTTAGTTACACCTAAGATTTTAAATATCGATGTTAATAAAAATATCGATGTATCAATTTTATGAAAATATCTATAAAGTATCGATGTAGATGAATATTTGTGAAAAAATAGAAAAAGTAAAGAATTCTTAACAAGCATTTCAAAATTTTTAAATAAATTAAAATTGATTAATATTAATATTATGTCCACATTAGTGACATTTGTTATGTTTTGTACATTTTTTTGCGACACTATTGAAATGTCGATTCACCTCTCATATCGATAATATCCATAGAAATGTGCCGACATGTTGATTGAAATCTATGTTAAGGACAACGGTACATGAAGTATCTTTCACGTATCTCCACAATGACATGATATTATTCGCTTTGGATATAGCCTCGCGGCTTTGCTTTTGGTTCCACCCAAAAGACCCCAAACCAATGAAGATAATTGTCTCTCTTATATACCCATGATCGTCTAGTCAATGTGTGGTTTTGTTAATTTGCAATCACCTTCCAAATCCAATAATCTGATACCCTAGTTATACCATACTCTAACCGTATATTAAATTATTATTTTTCCAGGGGTTGAAGGTTCAATAACGTTCGGTCCACATTTGTTGTACTAAAAAAGCAAATCAAGCAAATCTAAATGGTGGGTTGAGTTCATTCTTTTTCGTTTTTAGCTGTTAAACATGTAATAATGTTGTCCGTTGGGCTGTGATTGGTGTTGAAAGAAAAAAGAATGGCATTAGAGAGAGAGAGTGTGGAGCGACCCGAGGCAAAAAGGGAGGCTTTTGCTCTTCTTCCTCCATGGGTCAAAGGCACCACGTTGCTCCATAGAGTTGGCCAATTCCAATTCCAATTCCACGCCACCTTTCTGCTTCCCCAACACCATGTAATCATTGTGTCTTGGAACACACTCCTAATTCCCTCTCTGTCTCTCCTCCTCCTCATAATTAAACTCCCCCTTGGCTTCACCTGTAAATATTAACATATTAATGTCTTCTCTCTCTCTCCTTAACTATGGATTATTACATTTAAACATGTTCAAATGAAGTGTCATTATCATTTCATTTGAGGGTTTGATGATTCAAGGTGTCTCCTTTCTCCATGTGGATATTGTGTGTGGAATCAATAATTTCCATTCATTTATTAAGTCTAGTTTTCAAATTTTAATTTGTTAGAATAGCCTAGAGAAATAATTAACAGAAATAATTGTTCCCATTTTCCATAGCTAATAAGTCTTCTCCTCTAAGTATATGTGATGGTTGAAATGGTGCAATCATGTGAGTTCCTTTCACATGCGAATGATAAAGTTGAGTGTACTCTTTCTTTGCTCATGTCAAGCCACTTTGACGGTCAATTTGGTGATCAATGGCATTACACAACTTTGAATGTAGATAGAGTACAAGAGAGAATTGAAAAAAAAAAAGGAGCATGTCTTTTCTAAAGAAAGTTTTCAACTTACATGGGTTTGTAGTATTAATTAAATATCTCACGTTGAAAAGAAAGCTGAAACGTTACA